CAAGGGACGCGTTACGTTTTTTTTATTAAAAAAATTACGGCAAAACGTAAAAGCTCAAATTTGTGTGCACTATTATAGCATTATAAAAACTCAACAGTTTTTTTCTAGTTTCTATATCATTATTCTTCTTATAAAAAAAAAATTATATCTTTCGTTTAAACGGATAAAATGTTAATTTTGTTTAGCTAACTCGGTTCACAAATTTGATATTTAAATTTTTAATTTAAAAATAACGTATTTGTATTCATCTTAAATAGTAAAATCATAATTGTTAGTTATATTTGTCTACACCCACCCCCATTTACTTTTTGTTAAAAATCAATATGGTCAGCAAATCTAGCCGTTAAACAACACTAGAAAAACACGATTACCACAATAGATAGAGTGACTATAGATAAAATGGGATTTAAATGGATAAAATGTTAATTTTTTTTCGTTAAACTCGGCTCACAAATTTGATATTTAAATATTTAATTTTTAAAAAAAACGTATCCGTCTTAAATCGTGAAATCAGTTTTTAAGCTTTATTTTTTTTAATTTCGTAGAGTATTTTAGTTTGTTTTTTTTTTGGTCTGTACCAAATATTTTCCTTTAAATACCCCCCCCCCCCACATCTTTTTGTTTGTAAAAAAAAATCAATATGGTCAGCAAATCGAGCCGTTAAACAACACTAGGAAACACGATTACCACAATAGATACAGTGACTCTGGATCTTTAAAAGATAAACGCTCACAACACTCCCTAGCCTTTATTTTCTAACATGATTTTTATCTAGCCAAATATTAAAATTCGGCACAGGCAATGATAATCTTAGAACCGTGAATAATGATAACGATCCCGGGTTCACCACAATAATGATAATGTCGTAAATAATGGGGATTCCGAGCATCGCTTGCATAATACAGACAAGGATTTATGGGGACACTATTGACTCTAGTGAATGACAAAAATTAATGAAGGAAAAAACAGGGAAAAAAAATCAGACAAAACGATAGTAAGCCCCTTAGGATAATGGGTTTCAGGGATTGAGATTACCATTACAGGGAAGTTGGATGCCTCTGGAATAGGACACGCTATATAGACATAACGTTATCTTCCAAGGATATACTTACCTAACATAAGACTTACTTTTTATTTCATCTCTTAAATATCTAACCAGGCGTCAGGTACATTATTTTTAATATTGGTTACAATCTCTTAACACTATCTTGCCGGTAATGGAACTAATAGATCCCCTCTTTATTCCTCCTCTCTTCTTTGCTATGCTAGCTGACTACATAGTGGTACCGTCCACTATAATAAAACGCGTATACATCATGTATAGGATCTATATACTAGTGAATATACATGGTGCACGCTACAACTCCTGGTGGGTGATGAAATTGCACTCGTGCAATATCTGGCGTGTTAATAAATGAAATATTCTTAAAATTAAAAAAAAATCACACATTTTTAATGAAATTAAATTTGATCTTTCTTCAGCAATTTCTGGCGTGTTAATAAATGAAATATTCTTAAAATTATAAAAAAATCACACATTTTTTAATGAAATTAAATTTGATCTTCCTTCAGCAATTTCTGGCGTGTTAATGAATGAAATATTCTTAAAATTAAAAAAAAATCACACATTTTTAATGAAATTAAATTTGATCTTTCTTCAGGGAAAGGTTGATTATCGTAGATTTTTATGATTAAAATTATATGGTGAATCATGGTGTAAATGTAGGAATGAATGATTGTAAAATGATATTTATTCAAAATTCGAAAAATAATAATTCAATATCTAAATAAATATGATTGTGTAGCATTTTAAAAAATTTTATACGGCCCGCCAAAGTTCTAACAAAAATCACTAGCAAACCTAGAGGCGTGGCCCATTCCAATTAAGTTTTCGGCGTGGAGCAGCTTATCGGGGGCACAGTTCTAAGGATATTACGTATAAATAATATCAACTTCATATCTATAGACGACTGGTTATGAAATTGTTACTCCTCTTATATAAGACTAATGTCAGAGACCTTCAGAGTCAAATTTTCGTCTTTTTATGAGGCAGTTACTGACAATGTGCCTAGTAAATGAAATATCGTATAAAAAGGTATCAAATCTATAGGGTTGGTATTTTAGGCATGCTGGAATATATTTCCGGCGAAATCTTCTAATTTAAAAAAAAATGGCTCGAAAGTAATTTTAAAACAAGTTGCTAAGCGTGTTTTTTTTTTAAATTTGAAGATCTGACTCTTTCCCAAAAATGTATTCCAATTTGTAAATTACCAACACTATAAATTTCAGGCAATTAGGTAATAAATTTTTTTGGGAAGTAATTTTTTTTTTTTATATAACGTTTGTTTAGCAATTTAAAATTTTTTACATTAAAATCAAAATTATAATTCATTATAATATACAATGGTATAAATCCATAACATTATAATTACAAAAAAAAAGCATATTTCATTTTAAATCATATAGAAATTTAATCCTATACTTTTCTAAGTTGGGCAAACTCCCATTGCATGGTACATGATTAGCTCTAACCTATTAATTTGAACGTTGGTTTGACTTTGAATTGATTGGTGATCCGGCAAGTGATTATTTTTTTGATAGTTTTTTTAATTTTAAAAGAAAGTTAAAAATATCGAAATGTCAAAATACAGAGCTTGATAAATGAAGATAATTTTATCCAATTAATGGGGATGGAAGTTTGCTTCAAGGCGAAATTTTGGGCAGATGGTTGTTTTATAGAATAAAAATCATATTTTTTAAAAAAAAGTAGAAATTGCCTAATGTAATAAGGTCCGTGAAGTTGGCAGAACGACTTGAGGTGCAATTGACAAAAGTTATGCCATTGCCTAAGCATCAAGATCTCGCTTATGGGTGTCTAGACCTTTGTGTCATCTATGAGCAAACTCTTCAGGCGTGTGCAATATTATTCTGCATAAAATATTGAGTTATCCTAATCGAAATCAAATCGAGCCGTTTAACAACACTAATAGTTTGTATAATTAGGAAATATTCAGGCTAGAGGACAGCTCTCTATCAAATATTAGAATTTTTCCAATAATCCAACCCGATCATATTCTCAGCCCGGCCCTAATAAATTTATTTTCAGACGTTACCCTGCCTGGGTAAATATTATAAATAATTGACTTTGGTGTTTAACCACTCATATCTTGGGGTTAGGGCCTTGTACATAAAACAAAAATAGGGCTGGAAAACATTAGTAAAAAATTGAAAAATTGGCCGTATCAGGCAAGAGTAAAGATTTTAATCAGGCCAGGCCTAAAAATTTTGCCATTTGAAGAACTCTAATTTAGGCTCTAGGGCATCATATTAGACAAACGGCGGGCATATAAAACAGTATCTTAATAAAAACATATCTATAAATCTCCCCGAGGTAAAAAGAAAAAAATGGAAAACGAACACTTAATCGGGCAATTATTTTCGGCCGATCTAAGGAATATCAGGGGGAATTTGAAGGCAAGTTTTGCAGCCATATACATCTAAAATGTTGCCAAAGAAACAAACGAACGAGATAAAAATCCGAATAGAGCAACAAATTACCAGGATGGGCATTGCAATCGCAGACTGGACACTTTCTAAAGCTATTTCCAGAAGGGCATTTCATATTGCAAATAGGATTGCACACCCATGGATTTGGCTTGCATTTACACAGTGGGCAATCATCAGGACCCATAATCCATCCAAATTCGCATTTGAGTTCGCAAACATGACACACCCTATATGGTGTCACTGTAAATTCGTTCGCGGAAAAGATCAATCCCACGGCTAAGAATATTGAAACTACGTTTTTCATACTTATTTTTAAAGATAATTAATAATTCTTTATATATATATTTTTTTTAAAAGTAATTTTATCATAATTGTTGCAGCGCGAATTTAATTAATTTGATATGAAAATGAAATGTTGATTTTTTTGTGGTTTATATTTTGGAAAATTTAAATCTGGTAAAATTAATTTTCGGTAAAGTTAATGGCAGATAGGAAAGCGAAGAATGGTTCCCAAAAGACGATTGCTCATTCAGCAATAACGATACCAATATTCTCAGACAAACTTTTTGTTTAATACCAGATGCCAAAGAAGCAGATTTAAAAATTATCGACGAACAAACGCTTTTATTTTTTGATATTATGTCAAGCCATCCATTTTAAGTACAGAAGAATTTTACCATCTTTATTTTCTCCCTTCCGAAATTTTCTATACATTCCAAGAATATATATATATTCCGATTCCCAAACATGCTATTAGAAGCTAGCTGCTCTCCCAACCATATTCAGGGGTAGGTTTCTATCCCCCTGCTTCATTGAGTATTAGTTTACCTCTCCGTCTTACACCAAAATTCAATATTGATTACCAACACCATTACCAGTGTACCAGGGATCTTCAACAAACAGTGGCTCTAGATATATGATTCTCGATAAGAAATAATAAATATATTTTTAGAAAACAGCAATTATATAATTTAGAATTATTATTATCAAAAACTTCAATAAAAAAAAAGAAAGTTTACACCCGAATAATTGATACAAATTCTATATCATCAAAATATCCTTCCGCCGTTGTTAAACGGCTCGTTTTGAGACTTTTAAAATCGGCTAACTCAATATTATAGCCAGAAAAATATTGTCTAAGCCTAAAAAATTTATTTGATAAAGTATATTTATTTTAATATCGAGTAAACCTCTTCCAAGTAAAATTTATATTTCTTGGTCTGGGGGGGGGGGAGATAGGAGGGGGGGATAGGAGGGGGGTCAAATTTCCCCCCACCCGGTTACTAACAGAAAAATATTACTTACGCCTCGAGATTTAACTTATAGTGGGCCTGGGTAATATTTTTCTGGTTATAATATTGTATAAAAAATAATAATTCAACAAGTATCACAGTTACAAATCGATTTTTTAACAAGTATCACAGTTACAAATTGATTTTTTTTTAAATATTCTTTATTTACAAAAATGTATATAAATAAAAACGGTACGCTAACATATAATAATAAATAACGTTTCGAATATTAAAAACCGAGAATTTGTTAATTGGAATCAAGTTAGATTTACTGAAGATAGCTATTGATATTTTATTGTTAAAAATAACAAAATAGATGATAGTTGAGGTTTCATGTTTTGGGTCAATGTTGCCATGGAAGATTTCTTTTTTAAGTTTAAAATTTCGATTAAGTTTTTTAAAGTTATTTATTTACGAAAAGTATGAAAATTGAAATTAGTTTTATCGAATCTCCACTTGAAAAGGAATTATTGGCGTGAAGTGGATTGGTGAATCTTAATTAAGGTAATTGATGTTTGGGATGCTCTTCCATTTTTTGTTGAATTGGTTATTTATATAAAGTTTATAAATATTTAAGGAATTTAGTCATTTCCTAACGTAGGTAAATGTTGATGCAAAATGCTTGCCGAATTTCAGAAATTTATTCATTGAATATCTCGAGACGTAGAAGGAATTTCTTCGTTACTATCGTTATCCAAATTCGAATGGCTACCATCGCCGTGTAAATTTATCGCTTCCTCGTTGGCGGAAGGGTCCGATATTTTTATGCCAGCTACTCCTTTTGTGGGTACGGCGCAGCACTTATCTCTTTTCATTTTGCGTCTCTTGTAAGGTTCGGTTTTCCTATATTGCACCTTAAATATTAATTTTTTTTTAAATATAAATGGTGAAATCATATTATCCGGAAAAGGTGAAAATTTTGGAGTCTCTACATTTTAAATCATCTTACGGGAATCATTTTTAAATTCGAAAAAAATGATAACTGTTTTACCGGTATTCGAGCATGCGCTGAGCAACTAGAGTCCTGGCCAATGAGGTAATTTCATCAATAAAATAGAGGTCCGGTATTGGTTCGAAAAATATTAAAGTTAATTGAGTGAATGTGACAATTATAAAATTGAATTTTTAAAAAAAAGAGTCAAGAGATGCGAATAATTTACTTTTTAATTTTTATAAATATTTTGTAATAAATAGAATAAAAAATAGATGAACCTGATTTCAGACTATTATCAAAATTATTGCCAAAAAAAATAAATTTAGTCCACCATAACATTAAATATAAAGAATAGAAATATTTTTTTTGAAATTGAGAAGTCCACCTTTACAAGCTCTTTCTTAAAAAAAACTCAAAAGACCCCTAAAAAACATACGTCACTTGGGAGGTTACCAAAAAAAAATAGTATTTAATTTCACCATAAAACCTGTGTTAAACCTTTAAATTAGATGAGAAAATCGTGATATTTTTTAAAGTCGTTTGCAATAAAATTGTTCTTAAATTGTCTGGAATACCTATTTTTTTGTAAATTTAACCCTCGTAAAAATGATTCAAAATTGAGATATTCTAAATCCTTACGTCTCCAGAATCAGTTTACAAAATAATAACCGTTTACTATAGAAACATATATACTAGAAATCAGCCCAAAATGAACCGGGGTTTCTTGCCCGACTCGTAAAATATCTTTGTACACATGAAGATAATAATATTATTTTTTTATATGATAATGAAAAATTAATTTTATAAAAATTTTGTTTATATATGAAATAAAAGATGAAATTCGAAATAAAGACTTTATTGTTTAGAATTTTGTAAATTTGATAGTACTTGGAAAATTTATTTACGTTTAAGAAGATATTCGTTAAGTTAAGATTATTATAGCCGTTCCTATAAACTAATCCGACTCAGAAGCTGGTATGGTTCCACGTCAATTCGGCGCGTATCTATTATTGCTGCAAATTTATTATAAATTTATAAAAATATAAGGATGATTAAATAGAAGTCATTTTGATTGTTGGTATTATTAATTATTTCTTCATATTTATTTTAACAAAAATCCTCAATTTTATTTACTAAATGTGTAATATCTAGAAAAAAAATTTAACGAATATTTATACCTATTTCTTTAATGGACCAATTTACCCCATTATAAGGTATGTTGATTAGTAACCAATATCGGGTAAGCTTGGAGATTTTGCGCATAGAAGAAAGAAAGAAAGATTAGACCTATCTCTAATCTTATATATGATTTTGGCTACAATCTTAATCAACCGTTTTTTAAAAAATAGACCCAAAATACCCCCCACTCCCCGATAAGTACAATAATGTTAAATCCCCTTTTAAAAGTTTAAAAAAATAATTTACCCCACCCAGATTACTTATATAAAGGTCTTGGGATGAGATAAAACGATTAAAAAATAATCTAAATCCTATATCGGTAATGATCGATTTTGAGCATAACTGTAAGAGGGTGTTTTTTTTCATATGACCCAAGCGATTTGGAAACCATATACAGAGTGATGGCGAGTTATTAGCACATTATTTAGGTAAAGATGCAGGATATGAGTGGTCTATAAGAATCAAACAAATGCTCTCTCTCTTGCATTTGTTCCCATAGATGATGGAGTTGATGCTTTTTATGGACTTACAAAAACACCATTCTAACAGGATAACGAAAGGATCTTATATAATCTTATAACATATTATGTAGCGAATTAGATTGAGAAAATTCTTCGTAATAGAGAAAGACAACCACCAAGGTTTCCAATTTCCCTAATGGAATCAATATGCTGCTACATTGGAGGGAATCCCAAAAACAAATAATGCAGTTGAAGGTAATTTTTTTAAAAATATTTGCTATCTTTTTAATCATTATTACACAATCATTTTTTATAATTTACTTTGTCATTTTTTTTTACTATAGGTTGGCATAGAGCATTCTCATCACTGCTATCATCACACCATCCCCATATTTGGAAATTTTTAGATGCTCTACAGTTAGAAACAATCGTTAACCGAAGCAAAAATTGAACAATATATTTCTGGTACGTAACCCCCCAAGATCAAGAAAGAGGTATCGGGATACGGCTGAAAATATTATATTAATTGTAATCTGACTATGTAAATGGTCCGATTAATGATTATTTAAGGGGGATCGCATATAAATTTTAATTTTACGAATATAATATTTTTTTAATAGCATGTTTTGTGTATAGTATATTTATATTGAGTTAATCCATTTTTGATTATTAGCCTAAGCTTAATATTTTTTTAAAAAAAGGATTAATTAATAGAATTTAAGGATTTTTAATAAATCTAAAAAATGAGTCAGTCTTAATTGGATTTTTGGATCATGGCTGGGTCTATTTTTAAAAACGGTCGATTTAAATTCTAGCCAAAATAATATGTAAGATTTCGAGATAGAGGTCCAAGCCTTTCTTTTTCTTTCTTCTATACCCAAAATCTCGGCTTATATAACATTGGCTACAAATCAAAATTGGTCAACCAAATAAATAGGTAAATATATTGGTTGTTAATTATTTATTTTTTTTAAATTACACATTTAGTTAAATAAAATTGAGAATTTTGTTAAAATAAATATGAAGAAATAATTATTAGGACCAACATTCAAAATGATTTTCAATTTAATCATCCTTATATTTTTAATACTAAGTAATTTATAATAAATTGCAAGTGTAATAGATACGCGCCGAATTGACGTGATACCTAAAATAATATATATACTGTTACAGATGTTCAATTAAGGAGAAATAAAAATGTTCATTTATTTTCAAGAAAATCTTGGATAAATAATATTCATTCGAAAATTTTACGGAAATTAAAATGTAAATAATTCATTAATTTTATCGATTCATGGAGATTATTGATTTCGAATTTAATTTATTGATGTATTTGATAATTATTGATTTTTATAGATTAGTGAAAAATTGAGTTGGTATTTTTTTTTGTTAGATCAGATGTTCTTTTGTTGAAGGATTTGTGGACATTGTTTGTATATACTTAAATATATGTTTATGATACGATGATGAATGTAAGATTAATATAATTTATGGGAAATAAATGTTAAATGTTCAATATTTACGATATTTGGTTTTCACGATAAATTTTTATCATTTATATTCTCTGCCTTCTGTGCTTTTATCATATCAAACCATTTTACATAATTTTCATAATATTAAATAGTAAGAAAATAAAATAACAAGAAAATTTCCGCAAGATGGAGCTTTAAAGGTATCATAAAATCTTGGAGGATTATAAAGCCATGCACCAAAACCTATGTGCTCGTTCTAGTTAGGATTAAATTATCATCAGGCATAGAAATATTTTAAACAAATATATATATCAAGATCTTACGAATCTGTAGAATCTAACTGTTGTAATTATTGAAAAAAAGAAGAAATAAATTTAATATAATACATAAGATGTCAGTTATTTTCTGACAGGGTATTAAGTTTTCCTTGGGGGAAGAAGAGGAGATGATGATCATGGGGTGTATTTCATTGTTAGGAAAAACCCCTAGTGGGAGATGGGAAAATATTGAATAAGATGTCAGCTGTGAACCTTTGGGAGATGAAGAAATGGATAATAATTATATTAAATTTTGGTATATTTTTTTGTGTTAATGTATAGAGATTGTGTTGATGTTTTTAATAAATAAATTTGAGTCTTATTATTATGAAATTATGGTTTGTTTTGTGTTATGGGATATGGTTTGTAATATTTATGGTTTGATATAGAGGTTTTTGAAATTGGTGCACGATGACTATAGGATAGTTTCGATTCCAGGGTTATTCGGTATTTTAAAGGTAAAAACAAAATTTTTGTATAAATATTATATGAAAAATTTTAACCATGCAATGTACTAAAAACTATATAGATACGTGAGTTTAAAAATTTCTATACTTTTATATTTAACTTTAAAAAAATGTAAGATTGAAAGTAGGTAATGAGTATTAGGCAGAAATATGGAAATAAGATCAGGAATTTAAGACAGTAATATTTGGTATATTATCTTATGTCTAGATGTATATGGTACATCTAATTTTGATCATTATTTGGTATGCCTTAAAACTCATTGAATGGTGTTATAGGTATTCCGTCATAGGAAGCTGAAAGACCTCATGAACAGCAGGACAGAAAGGATTGTTAAATATTTAAATATGTGAAATTTATGAAAATATATATGAATATAGACTTTTGTAATAAAGTGTGTATTATTTAATTATGCATTTTGGGTTTGTAAAGGGATGAATATGTATGGGATAATTTATCATTAATTAATGTTAATATATTGCATAGGTAACATATGATATATTTAACTATGAATTATTATTTATAATGTTAATATATTGTATAGGTAACATATGATATATTTAATTATGAATGAGAATTTGAAGGAATTGAAGTATGATGAAGTCAGAATAATATCTATAATGTTAGATGTGGATAGTTATTTTGATTTAGTGTCTGCATTTAGTGTATATATAAATTGGATAGGAATTTATATGATACATTAGATGGTGTATAATATTTTTTTTTTCAAATTATGAAATCATATTTAATATATATATTTTTTTTTAAATTATAAATTTTTATAAGAAGTTTTATTTGCAATTATTATATTATTTGTATGGTATGCAATGATGTGAAGGGAAAATATTTTTACAGATAAGGTCAGCCCATGTTGAGGGGTATGCCTTGAGGTGAAAATATTGTTTATGGGGAAAGTTTTTTTTTTGTAAATTTATGCTGCATAATACATTTTTTTTAATTTTTTTAATAATTTTATAACACATCACATTTTACTATTTAATTATGAACATATTTTTAAAGAAAAGA